TTGAATTTGTACAAAAAGCTGGACTAAACTGTGGTTGGTAGGTTTGTGATCCAGTGTATCATATAAAGGAAGTCAGTTACCACTTATAACAGAGTTGCACTTGTACATTCAATCATTATTAAAACTTAAGTTTCTGCCTTCGGTTATTTGAAAATTTGGGACAATTCATCCAACTCCAGATCCAGTCTATATATTTAAAGTTCCATTGTACCTCAAACAAACCACTGAAATGAGAACAGAACTATATTCAGGGGAGATGGCCATCTGTTATTATCTTAATAGAGGGAGACTTCATTTGGTACTTCATTTGTGGCCCCTCGGTATCTTAAGATCATGATACTCAAACTGGCCAAATGTTTGTCCAACATGTTGAGTGATCTTTCAGGCTTGGGGTGGGGTTCTGGGGTGAGGATGGTAGTGGTTTACCTCCCAGAGGACACCTGCCCCACTTCCTTAACACCCCTACTCAAAAGCATAAAGCAGTATGGCATTTCAGCCAAGCCCCTTCTGGTGTGACTGTGTGTGTGTGAGTACTGGTGTGTGGCATCCTTACACTCACTACATCAAGTAGCTGAATAGCAGCTTTTCCTCCCTCCAACCAACCTGTACAATAACTAAGAAAAGTTATGTTGAAAGGCAGATGATACTAAAGTTGGATGCTTTTGGTATCAATTCAGTGCCTGAGTATTAGCCCAACTCTTTCTCAGCTAACATTGTACAGCTTAAGCATCCCTCTTTCTTTCCAAGTGATCTTGGAACACAGGCATTTACATCTGATTTTAATGAAACTTGAAACATTGTTGTTTTCAGTCTGTTAATGAAGAAGCTGAACCTTTCCAGGACTTGGTTACAATTAGCGTGTTTGTGTGTATGTACATGAATGTGTATGTACTGAAACAGTGCTCATTATCTTGAGCAATGCTAATCTAGTTACCAGCTGTAAAATTAATCCTTCACCATTTGCACATCATTTTATGCCTGAACGTATAAACTTAGAAGAGAAAAGAGGAACCTGCTGGAATCTGGTCCTTTTTTCACAAAAGCCTTTGCAGAGAAAAACATGGCCAAGGCAGCCGCTTATGTCGATCATTATGTTAACAGAAAAGCCACTTGAAAGCCCTGTTGGCTTCTTTATGTCTCAGGCGCACAAAGTGTAATCACATTTGGAGTATCAGTTTTGAAGCTTTTTTTTTTTTAAGCAGCAAGATAAAGAGCTGAGCGACAGGCATTAGCAAAAGGGCCTTCATTTCCCTCCTTTGGCATTTCAACATTGATATTTGTGTAAATTTCCCTGAGGCGTTCTGGCAAACTCAGCTTCTCAGGATGGACAGGTCGCCTCCATTGGCTTTGGCATTGGGGGGCCTGAAGCAATTTCATATAGTGTTTGTTTATATCCTTACTGATTTTTGTACATATACAGCATACATATATACAAAATGAAACCTCTCCTTTGTACTTGCACCAGGAATTGGCTACAACTCTTTGTGAAATGTGTGTGGATGAGAGAATGGATATCTACCTTTCCCTCTCTGTCCCCCTCTTTCTCTGTCACCCTCTCCCTCCTCCCCCCCACCTGTGTGTGTGTGTATATATGTATGTGTGTGTGCCCCCACCTACCTATCTCTATATCTCTTGGTGTCCCATCTAGACTGTGAATTCTGGATGAACTGCAGATTTATATATGAGAAATATTCATTATTAATTAAAGACTTATTGAAGAAGAAAGTCATTCAACAAATAGTTAAACCCAATTCAACATTTCCATCCCCAACATCAGGCTCTTTCTGTAGTGTAGACAACAAGAAATAAATAGATTGGAAGGACTCAAGTATCGCTTCACTTCAAGTAGCTCTTGAAGGCTATAGCTGTGACACCTGCAAGGAGCAGGCTGTCACAAAGAATTTTAAAAGAAGAAGTATTTTGGCTTCAGGATGACCCATCTGAAGCAGAACTTTTGAAACTACTCTCAAGATTCTTGAAATCCTTTCAGTTATTCTCTCAATAAGTACATCATTAGGGAGGGCAAGATATCTGAAAGACAGCTTGGTCACCATAGCCAATAATTCTCAGCAATGAGAGCCACCACGAAAGACTGCCAGATGTGTTTTCAGCATATGTGGGGCAGTTGTTCATTCCAACCAAATTATAATGTTGTACAGTTTATGATCTGAGAGTCTATCAAGAAACATGTTTGTGATATGTTCCTGTAGATCCTACAGGTAGCAGGGATTCTGTGACTGTAGAAAATTTGAAGAACAGTGATCTAGTTGGGCTAAACCACGTAATCTGTGTGTGTCTCTCTGTGAGGGGAGGGGTGTGAGGATATTGTGGTACATCATATGAAGAAAGCAACAGTGTTGTTTCAGTGACCATTTGGAAACCTAAATAAAATGTTCTTCCAGGCAGTGTGAGGCATTAATTCTCATTTTATTTCAGAGCTCAAATGACATTAAGTGGACTACACAGTGGTGCAGTGATTAGACTGCAGTACTGCAGGCTATTTCAGCTGCCTGACGGCTGCCTGCAATTTGGGAGTTCGAATCTCACCAGGCTCAGGTTTGACTCAGCCTTCCACCCTTCCAAGGTGGTAAAATGAGGACCCAAATTGTTTTGGGGGACAATATACTGACTCTGTAAACAGCTTAGAGAGGGATGGAAAGCACTGTGAAGTGGTATATAATCTTATTGCTTATTGAATTTAAATCAGAGCTGTTCCTATTGGGTATCCTACCAGAAAAAACGAGTAAGGAAAATGCTTATTTGATAATACATGTAATAACAGTTGCAAGGATTGTTTATGCACAAAATTGGAAAGCAGAGAAAATACCTTTGGAAAAAGAAGTAATAAAAAAAATCCTAGACTGTGCTGAAATGAATAGATTAACTTTGATGATTAAGGATAGAGAAAACTCAGATACTTTAAAATTTGGAATTATTTCTATTATTGGTTGGAGAAGAGATATAAATGATTAAGTATATAAGTATGTATAAATATGTGATGAGTAGAATATTATATTAGTGATGAATTGATACTATGGATTGGATAAGGATCAAGATCGAAGAAATAATAACTATACAGAAGAAGAAAGAATTACGGAAGATAACACCGAGATGTCACAGGGAAGAGATAATCGATGTATTAAATGTTTGTTGACTAAAAAATAAAAAACTTTTTTTTAGAAAAGTCTTATTGCTATTGCTATTGCTACAGTCACAAAATTTGGTTGCAACTTAAGAAAGAAATCACTCTTTAAAAAAAAGATTGTAATAATAGCTGTTGAGTGGTTCCATAACAGAATGGATGGAATATAATTTAAAAAACAAAGGTAAGGCTTTTTTTTCAGGGAGAGAAGACTTTTTCAGAATATAGTTTAGGCTTCCTTCCTCTTTTGAACTGAAAATAATTGGGGGGAAATAGGTGGGAAGGAGTGGTTATTCCATGTTGCAGGGCCCCCTTTTTCAAGGTTCACCAAAGGCCAGAGAAGCACTGCTCTTCTACCAGATCAGAAGCCCTTCTTCCCAATCTTTTCCAAAGTCTGTACAGCCCCAACCTCACGCTTTCTAAATAAAAGCACAGATAGCTTTCAAACATTCTAAACAACTCAAACTACATCTAGGCTTGAGAGACGGATCCTGTCATGCTGACATAATACAGCCTAAGTCTGATTTTGGCCAAAAGTCTCATAGGAAGCCTGTGTCCTGCGATTGTTTATTTCTGTTCTGATTCCTAAACATGTTCAACTCAGCTAAGCATGCCAGAAAGGATCACGGGCACTCTTAACATTACCGTTGTCAGCTACCAAAAACATTTTAAAAGTGGTGAGATTAACAATCAAAAAGAGCCAGAAATTGTTGCTCATCTTGCAGCCCGATACAAACTTCATTCAGATAGGAGAAGTAAGGAATGAACATCAGGAGACGAGTGGTTCAATTAGATCAGAGGAAATCTGCAGGTCAGCTGTGAAAGGGAAGAACTATCTGGAATGAATGAGTTACTTTCGCTTTCTTCTTGCTGGAGGCCAAGTAGGAGAGCCGCTCTGCCTAACAGAGGAATACTTTTGTGATACGTGCCACAGGCTGCCAAGTAGGAGAACAAACTTCTTGTGGAAATTTCTCAGCCACGAATATTAGTTTCTTTTTCTCAATCCTCACTCTAATCTTACATCTGAATTGCAATCTGAGTTGGACAATTATATCTTAATTTGCAGGGCTACAAGACAATGAATTTTCCCAAAGGTGTTTTTTCAAAAGGCAACTGGGCTTTGTTTTTACTTAAAGACATTTCGCTTCTCATCCAAGAAGCTTCTTCAGTTCTGAATGAAGGGTGGCAAATGAAAGGATTCGTATTCCTTGCAATCTGATTGAACGATCAAGTATCTGCAAGGAATATAAATCCTTCCATTCTCTACCATTCATTCAGAACTGAAGAAGCTTCTTGGATGAGGAGTGAAATGTCTTCAAGCAAAAAAGAAAGTCCAGTTGCCTTTTGAAAAAGCACCTTTGGGACAGCCATGACCTGGGTGGCAGAGAATCTCCATAGACGAGAAAATGGATTAGTGAGGTAATGTGTCTTTAAGTATTTTGAGCACTTGAAAGTATTGCACAAATACTAAACCTTGCATATTTTTTTTAATTCAAAGTTATATGCCATTTATTATCAGGTATTGAAAAAAGCAGCACATATATTAAAATGTGAGGATTTACAGTTAACAGATTTATTTCTGCTCTAATCTGAGCTACTGGGTTTTATGAATACAACTGGCATTTGTAGCATAAAAATGAATATATGGAGAATTAGTTTTTACCTGTTATGCAAAGAAGTGAGAGCTTCTTTTCAGTGTCTTTGAATAGCTCCTTTTCCTTAAGCCTCATTATGGCCCACAAGTTGACCTCATGAAGTTGTCTTCCTCTTGTCCCCACTTGCCTTCCTTGGCTTTATCTGCATTAATGGAGCAATTCTGTCCTTATTCCAACATGATCCAAGGGCAGAGTCAAGCATATAAAACCCATTTGACTTTTATTTAGTGAATGCAACAACTGAAAATGAAGCAGTAGAGGCAGGATTGGGACAGACAAATGGGACGTCAAACGTCATGCCATTTTGATTTTTTAAAGGTTCAGTGATGGATGGAGAGCACTTTAACTCAATAGTAAAGAATGATTCAACAAAGACATCCCTCTTTTCATTAAGCAGTGAAGAAAACTATTTCCCGTTGTCCATACCAGATTTCAACATGGGGGTGGGTGGGTTGTTGTTACTTCAAAAGAATTTACAGTTGATTCAGAGTTTTACTATCAGGTATAAGACATTCCCATCTACCCCATACCCTACAAACACATTTACAAGTGTATTAAGCAAGTGTGACGTCTCCAAGGACCTATGTCAAACACTGGGCAAAAATTATAGAGTTATCATTCATCATTTCCCTTCAACTGAAGCTTTTGGAATGTGCATCCCTGTATCTACAGATATCTCTCTTGATACCTTCAGGTCCCCGCTCTATCCAACTTTTTTTCAAAATAAAGTTTAGATAAACAGTTAGGGTGTTAGTATGACTTGGAAGTTCTCCCCAACCTATGGCTACTGCCATAGTGTTCTACTCCAGACTTTGCCACTCAACATTACAAATTAGGTACTAAAGGGATAAAGTTACTGTGTCACATATGGACTGCTTGGCTTAGCTCTATAAGGATAGAGTCTCCATCCAAGAAAAAATCTGAGGTGAAAACAAATATGTCCTGGAAAGCTGAAGGTTACTAAGCTGTAGAATATTTAGAAGATAATATTTAGAAGAAATGTATGTGTGTTCCAGTTTAGCAATTGCTGTTATTGTCCCATTGCTTGGAATGGAGTTGGCCGCAGAGGAGTCATGGAACTATCTAGCATCTTGAGGAATTAGAAGAAAACTTGGGCAGACAGATTGTAAAGCTGAAACCAAGAGCTGCATATCCTCCTTTGAACAAAGGATTTGGGGTTTGAACTGTGGGGATTAGTTTAGATCATTGGTGTATCTGGCATTCTGCTTTGCCAGAGTGTTTACATATTGTGGTTCTAACTAAAGGAGGTTGTGCAATCGACATTTTTGAAAGTTTCATTTCAGTCAGGCTCCCCAGGATGCCTAGAGGAAGAGGTGGCATGCACTTCGTACTTAGGAGTAAATAACTTATTTGGATTGAATAGGTTCCCTGGGTGCTTTGGTTTTGTGTAGAGATAGGAGGCCACAGCCAGCAAGGTGTGGATGATGGAGGCAGAACTTATGAAGCAAGCCCTGGAGAGCATTACTGAACCAGCTGGTTGTATTCTACACTCCCCATTTACTCTCCGTTCAACATTCTTGGCTGTCTTCCACTGGCAGGGTCAGGCAATAATGCATGAGATGATGTCACCACACCAACATGGTTTGAAACTTAGTGTAGAACGGGAGGAGGGAATTCAACAAAGGAAACTAACAGCTTCTTCCAAACCCTCCTCCCCATTTTTTTTAATAAGCTATACTTTACCCTAATTGCTAACAAAACTATATCTGGAATGCTATGGTTCTCCTTTCAAATAAAAAATATCTTACCCTACCCATCCCAAACCTTTTAACTGACATGTTTCTTTACTGTGTCTTCAATTTACGACTAGGGATTAATTGTTTGGAAAGGGAGCCTGTTGCAAAATAACCGTAAGGTGATCATTAGCATTACTGGTTAATGGAAGGAAGGTAATTTGCAGAGTGGGATGGGGAGATCCATTGCTTTGCCATCTTCTTCACTACACCGTCAGTAGCATTGTTTCAGTCACATGCTCTAATCTGTGGCAGACCAGGACTTTCTTCCAACATTAACGCGGCAACCTCCATGTCAGCGGTGTTTCTGAAAAGCATGCAGAGTGATCAGATTATATAAAATTACATGCACAGAAAACTGCATTAGGCAACTCAGGCAAAGCTGCTCAGACTGAGAATATGTTAACCAGGCTGTGATTTTTCCCCCTTCTCTCTTGTACAGTTAATCAAAATCATTCATGCTCATCATGTAAGCTAGAAACACAAAAGGCTTCCAACACAAAAGCCTGAAGTCTTTTCACATCCAATGTTTCTTTATGTCTCAAATTTCCCCATCTATGTAGCCAATGATTTCTTAATGAGATTATGGTTCTAATCATGTATGGTAGGTAGAAAATCTACATGCTTTCTGCCAAGGATCTGTGTGTGTGTGTGTGTGTGAGAGAGAGAGAGAGAGAGAGAGAGAGAGAGAGAGAGAGAGAGAGAGAGAGCGCATATGCACACACACATGTATGTACTTGCCAAGACCTCTTAGTCTTGATCTGTTTTGAAATTTACTCACAAGTTTGTTGGGAAAACAAGACTGTGCCTTATTTATTTGCCCTGCCATAGAAGTGATGAAAGGAGCAAGATCAGCTAATGCAACTCCATCCTTCAGATTGTAACATTGTTGGGCAGGGCACAGATTCATCCATTCAAGCATCTTTGTCTGCATGTAGCCTTCACCAGAGACCTTGTCGTGGTCTGCTTAGGTGCCCATATAATAGCAATACAATCTTCCTGTGTTGCCTTAGGGCCATGATAGCGAACCTATGGCACGCGTGCCACAGGTGGCACGTGGAGCCATGTCGCCTGGCACGCCAGCTCAGCTCTGGCCAGCTGATTTTCAGGCCTTCTGGGCCCACCAGAAGTAGGGAAACAGGCTGTTTCCTGCCTCTGGAGGGCCTCGAAGGGGGTGAGGAAGGCTGTTTTCGCCCTTCCCAGATGCATAGAGAGGATCTGGAGCCAGATGAGGAAAAAAACCGGGCCTACTGGGCCATCGTGTGCCAGGAGTGGGGGGAGGGGGGGTTGCACATGCATGCGCAGCGCGGGGCGTATAGAATTATGAGTGTGGGCACATGCACATACGAACCCCCCTCCACCCCCCCCTTCCTGGCACGCGATGGCAAAAAGATTAACCATCACTGCCTTAAAGGAAAGTGTATTTATCCATCAAGAGCATATCAGGGTTCTACCAGAGAATAACAAGCAGAGAGAGGAGGGTTTTTTTCCCCCTTCCATTTGTCACATTTGATTGCAGAGTCCACTCATTTGCTTTGCATTTGTTTAGTTCACATGGCAAAATGATCAAAGAATTACTCAACAAGGAGTTTGTGCTTCAGTCTACTTGTCATGGCGCTTCAAGGCAGTTTTGGTTTGAGAGAGTGACTGGCTCAAGACTTCTGGTCTTAAGGACTAGAAGTTATGGTCTCCCCACTTTTGTCCAGCACTGGAACCACTAGACTACATTGGCTCTCTATGAAGGGTAGCCCTATACTTCTTGAGATACAGTTGAAATATAGCACCCCTCCATTCTGAACTATGGGCTAAAGCTGATTTGGAAGAGTCCAGTAAAGTACTAAGGACACAGATTCTCTATAGAGTACAAGAAACAACTCTACAGATACTAATATACTATTGATCAGATATATTTTATTTATTAAACCACTTTATTTGTCCTTCTAGCACACTCCAGTTTGTTCACAACATTGAAAAAAATCCAAGTCATAAAACCTATGCAATCCCATCTCCTTCCCCCCAACAACAGCAACACATAAAATCGTATCAGCCAAACTCTTGATTGGTTCCGTATTAACACAGACCAAGTGGCTGTGGTTTCCGACGTCCCGATATAGTCAGCTGGTGCCATCGCTGACTATTGGGGGTGAATCATTGGCCCCCACGGAAAGGGCTCACAACTTGGGTGTCCTCCTGGATTCACAGCTGTCTTTAGAAGAGCACTTGACAGCCGTGACCAGGAGGATTTTTCATCAGGTTCGCCTGATCCGCCAGTTGCGTCCCTTTCTAGATTGGGACTCCTTACACACAGTCACTCATGCCCTCGTCACCTCCTGTCTGGACTATTGTAACGCTCTCTACATGGGGCTCCCCTTGAGGAGCACTCGGAGGCTCCAACTGGCGCAGAGTGCGGCCGCGCGGATGGTGATGGGAGCGACATGGTGCTCCCATGTAACGCCTCTCCTGCGCGAGCTGCACTGGCTCCCGGTGGTCTTCCGAGTGCGCTTCAAGGTTTTGGTTATCACCTTTAGAGCGCTCCATGGCTTAGGACCTGGTTATTTACGGGACCGCCTGCTACCACCAATAGCCTCCCACCGACCAGTACGCTCCCATAGAGAGGAACTCCTCTGGGTGCCGTCGGCCAAACAATGTCAACTGGCGGCCCCCAGGGGGAGAGCCTTCTCTGTGGGGGCACCTACTATCTGGAATGAGCTCCCCCCTGAAATACGGAGGATCCCAGATCTGCGTACCTTCCGTCGCGCGCTCAAGACGTTCTTATTTCATCAGGCTGGCCTGACCTAAGTTTTTTTTTTTTCGCCTTTTTAAATGGAAATTTTAAATTTGGTTTTAAATTATTGGGGTTTTAAATTTATTCAGCCAAATTATTTAATTTGTTTTATTCTATTTTAAATTTTGTATTTATATGTTTTATTTTATGGCTGTTCACCGCCCTGAGTCCTTCGGGAGTAGGGCGGTATACAAATTCCATAAAATGAAAATGAAATGAAATGAAACCTGGAGTTCCCAGGCCTGCAGACAGAACCATGTCTTCAGAGCCTTCTGGAAAAGTAATAAGGGGAATGATATTCCATAGGTCAGTAGCTACTACTGAGTAGGGCCTTTTTCTTGGCCCCACCAGATTTATAGATGGAACCCCCAACATGCATTACCTCCCTGCCCTGCTGGGTTGGGTAGATGTAACTGGGGAAAGCCCCCCCCCCTCAAATAACCTGGACCTAAGCATTTATTTGTTTATTAATAATATTTCTATGTCACTCTGCTCCAAAACAGCACGGAGTGACATAAAACCAACAGGGGAAATATAGTGAAAACTGAAGGAATCAAGATGCTGCGTGGAAATAACATCAAGAGTTTGGATAAAGACGATCACTACAAATACCTGGGTATTCTGCAAGCTAATAACATCAAGCAAATTAAGTTGGGAAGAAGGTTAGAGGTGAATACATCGTGAGAGTAAAGAACATCTTAAAGTCCAAACTCAGTGGAGAAAATACCTGGGCAAGTCCATTCATTAGCTACACAGCTGGAATAGATTGGACTCAAACAGAACTAAACGTCCTAGATAGAAAGACCAGAAAAATAATTACAATGAATCATGCCCTTCATCTATGCAACAATACTGACAGACTCTATTTACCAAGGAAAATAAGTGGATATGGAATATTGCAAGTACATCAGACATTTGAAGAAGAAAAAAGGGGCATTGGAAGAATATCTGAAGGGCAGTGAAGATGCACTGAAGCTAATATACCAAAAAGACTTAATGAGTACTGGACATGCCAAACTGGCATAAAAGTAAGAAAAAATGAAGAATATAAAAGAGACATGTCAAGACAAAGTATTACATGGCCAGTACATTAAAAAAAATAGCAGGTAAAACAGATAAAAAGAACTGGCAATGGTTAAAAGCAGAAAGTTGAAGAAAGAAACAGAGAGATTAATTCTGCATAACACCAAGCCTTAAGAACAAATGCATTTAAAGCCAGAATTGAGAAGACAACAAATGCCGCCTTTGCAAAGAAAATGAAGAAACTGTGGACCACCTAGTTAGTTGTTGCAAGAAGATCACACAGATGGACTATAAACAATAGCATAACAAAGTAGCAACAATGGTGCACTGGAATATCTGCAAGAAATACCATTTGCCTGCAAGCAAGAACTGTTTGGACCACAAAATAGACCAAATAATAGAAAATGAAGTTAAAGTGTTCTGGAACTTTAGAATTCAAACAGACAAGTACCTGCCACTTCACATCCCAGACTTAACAATTGTCAATAAGAAAGACAAAAAAGTCTGGATGATACGTGTGGCAGTACTTGAACCAGCTTTACATCCCGCAAACAAACTAGAAGAGAAGGAACTGAAGAAAATCACAAAGTACAAAGACCTGCAAATAAATATAGAATGACTGTGGCAAAAGAAAGCAAAGGTAGGACCAATAGTGATAGATGTCTTGGGTGCAATCCCAAAACAACTGGAGCGCACTCAAATACCATCCGCATTAACAAAGTTTCCCTCAGTCAATTGCAAAAGGCAGCTTTACTTGAACCAGCTTTACATCCCGCATGATACCTTTAATACCATCAAACAAGGACAATCCCAGGTCTTTGAGAAGAACTCGACAGGTGGACAAAAATACTAAATCCAATCTCAAGATATGGCTGACTGTGCAATCAACTGTAATAGTCAATGTTTAAACACCTAATATTCTCCAAGCAATCTCTTCCAAAGCTGGAAGACTTTCTCTTTTAGGAAACTCAGTAAGGAGGAGGTGGTGCTATTATGTAGATCACAGAAGAGGCACCACCAAGGAGAAAGTATCTTGGGAAAATTATCCCTGTAGAAGTTATCACAACTAATCAGGTAGGTTATTCTAGGAGTTTTTTGGCTGTGCTAGGATTTGAAATCATGTCTTACAATGATATCACCAGAATGCTGCTGTTTTCTTCAGTACAGAAAACAAATCCACTGCCTCGGTTTTATGTTAAGGGTTCTTAAGAACTGGTGCGAGACTGTCCTAAACAAGCAACTTCCCTAGACATTTTAGATCTTTTGAACTTGGGAGGCAAGAGGGTAGTTCCATCCTGCTGGTAAAAAAACACTGTTTCTCCTTTGTTAAAACTTGGACATGTTTGAAATGTTAACATTCCTGATAAAACATTAATAATACTTTGTAAAGACTGGCTATTATTTGCAAGATGAAACCGTGCCAGAGAGAAAGGGGGGGGGAGAGGGAGGGAGGGAGGGAGAGTTTGCTCATCAGACCAGCCAGCAAACCCCAAATCTCTCGAGTTTTGCAGACTTCCTCAAAAGCCAGGGAAGTGGTGCAAGGAGCAGCCAGTGGGTGTTCTGTTGGAGGACAACTAAAGCTGGCCTCTCCTGGCCAGGCTGATCCCTCAGCTTCTGAAAGTCCTGACTAATGTGTGGCTCAGCCAAAATACCTCAAATCACTGCTTTAATTGGAGAGGGAACCAAACACAATTTCGAGATTAAATGTTAACGTAAGACTACAGTACTTTTGCTTTTATTCTGCCATGAGGGAAAATTGCCATTGTTGAAAATTTCACATTTGGGATCTGACAAACAAATTAAGGGTCGCGACATGTTGTCTGCACTGAGGAATCCATGTTGGGCTTTATCAGAGCCACGTTGACTCTATTGTAAAGGGTTCAATGGCTCTTTGTTTAGACCATTTTGATTCAATGCTATCAGATTGCGCTGATGGGAGTAAACATGAAGGATTGCCATCCTGCTTATTGCGGTTGTGATTGTGAACAAAAGAACATTCTTCTAGGCTTCCCTAAATTTTCATTGATAGCCTTGGCCACACAAGCAGGCAGAACCACTCAGTATCATTACAATTCAGTGGCAATTCATCCAAATGCAACTAGTTCATATGTTAAATGAAGAGAAAACATGATGCATGGCCCCATTTGTTCACATAAGTGTGTTTGTTTGTAAAGTCTCTGCCAATCCAGTTGGGCTTGGGAAGCCAGACTTCAATTTGCGCACAACAACTCCAGCATTACCTATCACCGGAAACACTTTTCTATGGTTCAGCCATTCATTCCATGAGGGACCCATTCGTTCCTCTGGGAATATGCAGACTTTTTTCTATTGATATTTTAACAGAAGAGTGCACCAACAATGGAGATAAGCTTCCAGTTTGTTAAACAGATGAAAATTCACATGTGTATACCATACAATATACACGAATAGGGGACCAGCATATACAGAAAGTGGAATAAACATTTCAGATTGCAACCGGGAGACTGAGCATTTGAAAACAAACAAGCTAATCCCTCGTTCCACACCCCAGCCACACAAGTTTTTCTCCCCATCTGTCCTAAACCTACTACCTTCCCTACAGTTTTTTATGTTTGGGAAATTTTCATATATTTTTTCAAGGGTGGGGAAATATGTAAACATATAACTCCCTTACCTTCAGTCAAAAGAGAAACATCATTCTTACCATGGATAGTTCTAGCAATGCCAGCAATCTTTATATTTTGTAAAATGTCTAGAAATGTTGTCTTGAACGTCTTATAGCAGATCTCGAGTGTGCTCTGGGAGTCCCTGAGGCCCTTTCAAAGGATCCACAAACTTTAATAAATATAAAAATATAAACTAAATATTTTAGCATTCCTCAGAGTTAATTTCTAAAACAGTACATACCAATAGATACAGCCCGCATAAACCAAAACTCTTTGGGGTCCTTAATAATTTTTAAGGATATAAAATGGTCCTAGAACTAAAATGTCTGAAACCCATTGTGTTAGCACATATAGAAAGATGTTTATGTGGGACTATGTTGAAATAAGAGACCCCCTTCCACCTGTGTGATATGTGGTACCATTGTACAATCCTTTGAAATCTGTATCATGTTTTCGGTAAACTTTTGAATAAGCGGGACAGGAATAACCTCTGACATGGTGAATTCCAAGTTTATGCTCTTGTTTTGATCAGTTAGCAAAATGGGGAATCGTAACTCATCAGCATTCTATCCCAATCTCAAGGAATTCAAGCATCCATAATTAACTCTTTTGAGAAGAAATGTTGAATAAGTAGGACTTCTTGACTGTTGTTCTAAGAATTGGTGCAGTTGAACTGAGATACATTTATGAACAGATTCAGTCTAGAATAGCTACAATATCAGTCACTAAGTACCTTAGTACTCATCCCAGCCTCAGAGATGTCTCTGCTTATTGGTAAACCATACAGAAAGGTGCATTAACTTGATATGTTTTCTTTTCTGTGGTAAACAGCAGCTTTGGGCAATTTTAATTGGGGAAAATGGCATGGACACAAAGAGGAGAAATCCCTCCTCCCAACTCAATGATACCTGCACTTTTGTTAACTTACTGTTAACCCTTTCCCCACTTACAAATGATGGGGGTGCCTATGCTCCGTTTTCTTGCTTCAATCTTAACTTACATCAATCCTAAATTTTTGAATCTCTTCTCAGAACAGCCCTTTCAAAAAAAAAAAAAGGGCTGACGTAGATGATCTGCTTCAAGGTCGTCACACATATCACAGTGCAGACAAGATTTCCTTTGATTAAACCTTCTCCTTCAGAATGACAGATCAGGCAAAGGATTATTTAACAGATGACACTGATAGGCAGGGCCGTCCCTGCCACTTCCATAAAGCACAGCGGGTGTTCAACTTTCCCATGTCACGGGCAGAGGAAAAATAGTGTTGTGGCAGGATCATTTGGGGTTAACAACTGCTATTTGCAACATCTGAAAACTGTTATTTTTTTTTTCTAGCTGAGGTTTATCCTGTAGCTTCATAAACTTTCCATTTCAAATTAAAGAGCTTCCTTTTAAAACTATAATAAACTTTTATCTTGAAAAATGGTGTGTGCCTTTTAATCATTTCAACATATTTACTTCAATTAGCTTTTTAAAAGTTTACAGCACTGTTCTTAATTTGGGCTATGAGGTTTCTTCTGTACTCAGCTAGCATCAGCTCACCCGGATACCCCTGTGAGGATGCGGACAAGACTACCACCATCTTAGACTTCAAAATCTCCACTATAGAGGCCACTGTCAAGCTTAATCTTATTAATGAAATGCCTTTGTTTCCCAACATGCAGATCTCTTTATTATTAAACTGCAATTTTTTTTAGCTGAGGAGCATGGCAGCATCACAACATCTGACGGTTGCTGTTGTTTAAAATAAGTAACACGAATGTAGAATCTGTGACCAACAAGTACCTATAGGAAGCCTTTTTGAAGAGGGGACTGAGTGATGATAGCATTTCTCAGTGGCAGCCCCACCCTCTAGATACTCTCCCTGTCGATGCCCACCCAATCCCTGCACCACTTCTGTTTAGAAAACCAGTGAAATTGATACTGTTCCAGCAGACCTTTGGTTCTGATTGATTATGGTTTGCTGTCAGAATGGTTTTGGCTTATATATTTTTTGTTTGTTCCTTTTTCTTGGATATATATAATTTTCCACTACATTAACATGGTTTGTTAGCTAACCACAGGTTGGAGTGGATTAAAAATACTGTCAATTAAATAAATAAGTATGACCACATAACTTTTCTCCAAAATCAATTTCTTGATTTTATTCTATTTATTAAATCATTTATTAAATTTGTTTGCTTCCCATTTTACTGCAAGATAAGCTTACAACATCAAAACAAAACCACAAATACACACACACACACACACACACACACACACATATATATATATATATGCTTTCTTCTTTTATCGTAGGTTTTTGTGTGTATTTTTCTTCAACCGGGTATTTTCCTATGTAACCAAGTTTGCAGCCATAGCTCAGTGAAATCACATCCACTATCCTAGGCTTCTTCAGGCAGAAAGCAAGCATTTTGCTGCCTATTGGGAGACTAATATAGATCTATTTCAGACTGATTGGTCCTCATCAATTAGCCACACCCTTACCATATATTCCCTCCCCGTAGAGGCTAAGTATATTTGGTTACATAGGAAAATACCCGGTTGAAGAAAAATACACACACACACACACACACACACACACACACACACACACACACACACTGTTTCCCCCAAAATAAGACATCCCCTAAATAAGGCCAAGTGCTTATTTCAGGGTTCAAAAAAATATAAGACAGGATCTTATTGTCAGGGAAACACAATGTGTGTGTGTGTGTGTGTGTGTGTGTGTGTGTGTGTGTGTGTACACAAATGTAAAAAAATCATAATAAAATCATAATAAAATACAAAATATAACTAAAAGAAAGAAAGGATCAGAATGTACATATGGGGGAGGAGGGAGCTGATATTAGTTACTCAACCACCTCCAATGTGTACTTCCCCATTGGGATCCCAGCCTAACTGGCAAGGCTCTTGTGGAAAGTCAGGGGGGTGGGAATAATCTCACCACAGGGGGAAAAATGTTCCAAAGGGCCAGGGACCTGTCAGAGAAGGTTCTTCTCCTTGACCCCACTAGGCAGAATTCCTTGCCTGACGGGACCTGCAACATGCCTCATTTGCCAAGGGTAACTCCATGTAGCGTGCATTGCTGTAGTCCAATTGTGAGATGCACAGGGCTTAAATGACTGAGTGCAGGGACTCCTGATCCAGAGCAACTGGCGCACAACCCAAAGTTGTGCAAAGACTCCTCTCCTACCCACAACTGCCACCTGTTCCGAGCAGGAGTTGTGAGTCCAGGAGAACCCCCAAGTTGTGAACCAGGTCTGTCTGAGATAGTACCAGGCCACCGAGACCTAATGATTGAAGTTTCTTGCAAAATGATCAAGGGACCTAAATAAAGGTGTAAGAAGCAATGTGTGGAACTCACGAAACAAATTAAAATATTCATCATAAGAAACAAGGGAATCCAAGAAGAATCATAACAGCAAATGGGGTTTTAAAATATAAAAACATGTTCCCTACCTCCAAGGAAATGAATGTTTTTCTGTTAATGGAAGGAATTTAGAAATATCTCTTGGTGAATATCCCAGGGAAACCATCTCTCTGGGATGTTTTGAATATCCACCATGCAATAAATATTTAATATGATATAGTATTATTCCCTGACAATACACTCTTTATTTAAGTAAAAGCTCTTCTGACTCCTGGGGCACCAATGATTTCTCTGATTTAATAGAGCTGTGGATGAAATTTCTCCCATAAACAGAGCATTGAAATGCCATCTCCTCACCCCACCCACATGTGAATCCTCTAAGGTGAAATATGTTTTGAGTTCCAACCACACTGCACTAAACAATTATTTTATTCCATGTGATTTCCCTGATGACTCAAAATAAAATAGATTTTTCTTTCACAAAAAGAACATTATCTATGTTTTGGATAATAAAGCACAGGTTAGGGATCAAGTTAATTTCACCACCCCTACCCCAGTATGGAATTTTAGTTTGTGCAGCTGACATCACACTCAATCCTCGATGTATGAGGAAGGGAACTCAGGATGGGCTGGGGCATCTCCTACAATGAGTGCATTTACATTGTTGCTTCTTTCTGAAAGTGTCCTAGTGTTGAGGAAAAATTGGTTCTAAGACACATTATAATGGGAAACATGATCAGAGGAAACCTCCAACAACCTCAATCATAAAATTCTCTAGGTGGAATCTGGCAACTACTGAAACAACATCTGGTTTTTCTGTGCTCCCGCAGGATGATCTCCTATGTAATAATAAGTAAATTATTTTACATGTTTCTTTCAAAATTAAGATAGCATTTTTATTGCAGCATATTATTGCAGTTTAATAACAAAGAGATCTGCATGTGGGGAAACAAAGGCATTTCATCAACAAGGTTAAGGTGGACAGTGGCCTCTAAAGTGGAGATTATGAAGTCTAAGATGGCGATAGTTTTGTCAGGACCCTCACAGGGGTATCTGGGAGAAAGGAAGGAAGGAAGAAGGAAGGAAGGAAGGAAGGAAGGAAGGAAGGAAGGAAGGAAGGAAAGGAAGGAAGGAAGGAAGGAAGGAAGGAAGGAAGGAAGGAAGGAAGGAAGGAGAAATCAAATGCAATTGTAAGTTTAAAATAATATTTTGTTTATTTATTTTTTAAAAGAAGTGGCCTAAATAAATAAACCTTTTCTAACGTCAGGTAAAAATATTCTTTAGAAGTGGTCAATATTGACTCCCAAGATGCCATGGAATTATCCATCATTGTTGTTATTAGTGGTAGCAGTAGTATTATCAGTAATATTATTAATTAAAGCTGAATTTATTACATTATTTTCAGATAATAAATATGGGGGGGGCTAGATAAACAATATGAAAGTTTGGAGAGCCCTGCTTTAGAGGAAAGCATGATCAACTTTTTTTTAAAATGCAAATTTAGTACAGAAGTCATATCCAAAGCAAAAATCACAGACCTTTTTGCAATTTTAATTTCATTTTAGGCCAAACACTAGCCTAAAGATTTGTCTTTCTCAAGGTTAGTCATAAAAGTCTTCAGGTGGTGATTCAGCATTTTACCCCTAATTTCCTCCTGGGCTGCTGCCATGCCCTGGACCGCCTATGCTAGAGACCGCTAAGCAACCATTTTCAGCCCATGAGGTTGTGGGGAATGTGAAATGATGGCTCACAACTACCTATCAGTGCTACTGATTTTGGAAGAGATCCACAGAGGGTAGTTTCCAAGACCTACTTCCTGAACCTGAAGAAAATTATGTGCTGTTTCATATTAGTATTAACTCATTTTTCCAGTAATCTAAAATCCTATATTTTCTACTTATAGAATATGAATTAGAAAATACACTACAGGTCTGGGAAGATGTAGGAAGGGTATTTTTATTAAGTTGCTTCAACTTTTTACTACATTGTGTTCTGCTGTCTTTGGATCATAAAAGCATAACTGCCACTGGGAAGCTGACTTGAAACTGCTTTAATGTGGCCTCTCCTATTACCCTGGTCATGGGTCGAAAGATTCCTCCAGTGGTTCATAGAGAACAGTCTACATTTAAATCTCCACTCTTCAGCACCAGAAGGTTAATTATGCTTTTATGAGATCACCTGAGAAACTGAGTCACGTTGGGAGTGAACTTTGCTTCCATAATAGCAATGGAGTCGTAGCATTTAATTTCCTCAGGAAAATTTCCTCTCTCTCCCAGGAAGATGCTTAAATACCTAACTGAAAAGGAGATGTAATTTCTGAGAAAGGAAATCTACATACTGTGTTACTTGAAGTAAACCTGTAGTGGAATCATGACTTGGGGAACAAAGATGCATAAAATGAAGAAATTAGGAGGAGGATATTTTTTCCATTTCATTTTTTAACAAAGTTAATAGGTTTATTTCTTCCCACCTAAAAATGATAGGCAACCTTGCCACACAATGCCACCTGACAGGGCATACCAGGAGGCACAGATTACTTACCTCTAGCCCCAAAGTAAAAACTCAGAGTAGCATCTGGCAGATCATTGTGCTCCTAATAAAGCTCTGGAATCACTCTGAAGTTGCTGGGATTAACATTAATAACATTCCTTTTCAGGATTCCCTCTGGAAGTGTTCCATTAAAATGCTGTTCTTTTATACATAAATTCTATCACTTCCCCTTGTCTTCTAAATAGAACTATTTAATGCATCTTTCTTATGTATGCAAATTTTCAATTCACACACACTGAAAAATAATATATGTTGAAATCTTTCTTCCCTTCTTTTTTCATGAATTTGCTTTTAAAAACTAAATAATAGAATAAAATGGGAACACAAAAAGTTAGAAATCCAATCCCAAGAGTTTTTCCTTGGGCTCAAGAAATTATTTCCAATATTTATAACAATAGTGAAAGCAGCCATTTGCATTTTCCTTATTCTGAAAATGTTTGGAGTCCGTCTTTTGCAGTCTAAAAAGCTGAAATAAGGAAGGCCACACTGAAAATCAGTAGCAGTTGACCTTCAAACATTTTCATATCCTGTAATTAATAAATTATGAGGATAACTTTGTTCATCAATTCTTTGGAGCACATACAAACTATTCAAGCATCTCCAAAATCCTATCAACTGATATATATATTGAATCTACAGTTGTGGGGGGGGGACCATAGGAGGGTTTTTTTTCTCTTTTTTTCTCTTTTTTGAAGCCAGCCACTTACCACAAATAACAAACACTTGTAGCAGTAGTCACAGTGAGTTATCTGTGAGCAACTCAAAGCATGAAATTCAGTCCTATAAACAATTTGTCAAAGGATTTTTGAGTCATGAGCTAATTAGTAACAACTGATGTCTGAGAATGAACGGATAACCTAGGAAGAGAAATCAGCTAAAAGCATATTGAATTAAATGCACGCTAGGATACATCAAATTTATTTGAGGAGAACTGTTTGCAGACCTTTGTGGATAGTTCTCGAGATAAGGGTAACGACACTGAACCATTTACAGATATTCAAGATATCTACCAAACATGGCAATGGAATGGATATCAGGGTGAAGAGAAGGCTCCAGATGTCCGTTCCATATCTTTGAATGCTGTAAAAAAAAAGAGGGTGAATTCTGGCTGCATGGAGAAATCCCTCTGGATATGCAGTAACTCTGTTCTAATGGTCAGTTTATGTGCTAAGGATGGGAATGAACTCCAACCCATTCTTCTCCCTGCCATTGTGTGCTGCCTTAAACCCTTTAGAGGATGACTGTGTTGCAAAAGCTAGATTTGCATTAATAAAGTGAGTGATTAAATAATGCAGTGTTATAGTAACTATTAACCTTATGCATACTTCTGAAATTATTTAGACAACTTTTTTTGGACCACAGGAGCTAGTACAGCAGCTCCCAGCAATTGAGTAAAGTAGTCTGATTTTTTTCCCCAGGCTTTTGCACCAGCCTTGTAAAATAAAGCTATGGTTTTAACAGTTACAGTCATTTTAATGAGTGGATTCCTTCAAGCACTTAAGAAACCTGAAAATGCTGCTTTAACAGCCGTGAAGTGATATCTTCCTATTTAATTATTTTTACAGCTCTAGCAACCATACACTATGTGAGTATCTAGGCTAAGAGCTTCGCTTTGCAGCCAAAGGCTAAAACTGATACTTGCTTTTAAACTCTTGAACCCATTTTGATGCAGAAGGTAAGTAGATAAGTAAGTAGATGGGTAAAAGCACAAGCTCTAGAATTGGCCCTGGCATAATATGGAAATCTATATAATCTGTTTCCCAGTCTTATGCTTTCTAAATGTATTGAACGACAGTTCCTATGTTCCACCAGTCAGCCTAGTCACTGACTTATAGTTAAAGGAAAAGTCATCTATATCAACTGGCAAAGACAGGTAAGAGAAATTATGGCAGCTCCCCCAGCCTCTGAATTAAGGCGGTTGGTGACCCCTGTGAGTTTTGTTGATAAATATATGGGGGTGAGGGGATATCGGCTGAATCTTGTTATTATTTATTTATTTATTTATTTATTTATTCATTCATTCATTCATTCATTTACAAGTATTTATTTGATTTTTATACCGCCCTTCTCCAACAGGACTCAGGGCGGTGAACAGCCAAGATAAAACATAGCATATAAAATTTAAAAACAGTTTAAAAGATATTAAATAATTTCAGCCCACAATTTAAAACAACCCAGTTTAATTCCAAATTAAAACCGAAAGGATGGGATCAAGCCAGCCCGGCTAGATGAAATAAATGAGTTTTCAGGGCCCGACGAAAAGTCCGGAGGTCTGGTATTGTGCGTATCTCTGGGAGTAGGTCGTTCCAGAGGCCAGGTGCCACCACAGAGAAGGCTCTCCCCCTGGGGATCGCCAGCCGACATTGTCTGGCCAACGGCACCCTGAGGAGGCCCTCTCTGTGCGAGTGTACTGGCCGGTGGGAGGCTATTGGCGGCAGAAGGCGGTCTCGTAGATACCTCGGCCCTAAGCCATGGAGCACTTTAAAGGTGGTCACCAACACCTTGAAGTGCACCCGGAAGACCACCATGTCCTTTATCTTGTCCTTTTCCTATTTCTTCCTTTTGGTGTTGCTTTTTTGAATTGTTATTTTATTCTCTTTCTCATATTAGTGAGTCGCTAATTTTGGAATTGGATGGTACCTATATTAAATTAAATTAAATTATTCAATACTACAAAATGATTTGGAAGGAATGCTTCAGACCTCATATGAACCCATCACTTCTCTGCTACTTTTTAAAGTAGCCATATTAAGAGTTGTTAACCTAATCTTGCGTAGCTTCTTCTCTGGTAATATTGTACTACTAACTAGGGCATACAAAACATTTGGTAGACCAATTCTTGAATACAGCTCATCTGTCTGGAACCTGCACTGCAAATCGGACATAAATATAATCGAGAGAGTCCAGAGATATTTTACGAGAAGAGTCCTCCATTCATCTACCCACAATAAAATACCTTATGCCACAAGACTCCAAATTTTGGGCTTAAACAACTTAGAACTACACCGACTTCAGTCTGACCTAAGCATAGTACATAAAATTATCTGCCACAATGTCCTTCCTGTCAATGACTACTTCAGCTTCAACCACAACAATACACGAGCAAATAATAGATACAAACTCAAAGTAAACCATTCTAAACTCAATTGCAGAAAATATGACTTCAGTAACAGAGTGGTCAATGCCTGGAATGCACTACCTGACTCTGTAGTTTCTTCCCCAAATCCCCAAAACTTTAACCTTAAACTGTCTACTGTTGACCTCACCCCGTACCTAAAAGGTCTGTAAGGGGCGTGCATAAGTGTACCAGCGTGTCTACCGTCCCTGTCCTAATATTCCTTTTTACTTACTCTTTTCATGTATTCAAATTATGTTTATACTTTTACCTGTTATCTTATATATGCTTGACAAATAAACTTATGATTATGATTATCTTTATTCAGGGTTCATTATGAGACCGAAAAAGCATGTACGGTAGCTGCTTTAATAAATAGCAGGAAGGTGCTAAACTCATAGTTCCACAAGATCCTAGCCATTTCTACCAAATCATTTTGAAAACATGCCCAGATCTTTTAAATGTGGTATTTATACCACACTTTTCCTCCACTGTGCAGCTCAGAGCAGCAGATGTAGAATTACATGGTAATATTCCCTATTGTTAAAAGGATCCAGTTATGCTACGTTTCTGCATGGCTACTTTATGATATGGTTTTGAAACACATTATGGGTCTAGAGCTTGCCCAACACACTCTTCTGTCTGACATAAATCAGGTTTCAATCTTATTTGAACACTGGGAATGGATTTGCATTAACCATCTGGAGAGGGTATCACCACAATAAATAATTAATACTTTGGCCCATCCCAAACTATTCCCAACCCCTCTTCCTCGCCATGGGTCACTTTTGAAGTAGCTTCCTCTTTCTCTCTAATATTAGAACTGGTCTTGATGGTTCTTAATGCTTCAGCACTCTAAGATTTCATTAGTTTTCTAAACCAAACTTGGCTGATACTTTGAGGGACTATGTGGGTAGGAATTCTCACCAATCTGGAATTTGGAATAGACAGGTAAGATTTGAAAATTCACCTATAAGAAGGAATTGGATTGAGAATAGAGCAATTCACAGGCCTTCTAGAAAATCCCAAGCCTTTCTACAAACCTGAATGTTAAAGAGGACAGTGATGGATTGTTGAAAATTACTCGGATCCAGTCGGAGCATTTAGAATCACAAGCAGAGCAGATCCTGGATCACAACAGAGTTGCCACTCCCTTTCACATGTTCTGGTAGGCTGTCATTGCAAGAGAAAGCAGAAACATATGGATCAGACTGGTCAGGTAGTACTTGGCAGGTCCCTATACTCCCTACATGTTCTGGAACCACTCTGAAATGTTTACAGCTGCATGCATTGATGTATGTGTATCAAGAGTGTCTTCGTTATTTACAGAAGAAATATTGTGTAATTATTCCAAGTTAAGAATCAGAGCCTATATTATACTGTAACACTTCAGCTATTTTGCACTTGATCATGAAGTTGTTAGGCACTCTATACCCCACCAGGAAATCTGAAATGAAGCAATCTGAAGCAAGCATTGGTTTGACTAATGTTTAATATTTTGTCTGCTAGAGTTCCAAGCAGAAAGTCATTTACAACAGCGTAACCAAAACCCATATTTATATGCAGTTATGCTTCACTTTTCATCTAATGCCCTCAGTGATATACAGAAATCCGCTATTTGATCAGGGGACCTGACTCCAGAGGCTTCATGGCTTGCAAACCACAGCGAACTAATAAGTACCCTGCAGCTTGTTTGTTAAAATAGATCTGTGCTGGCAGACACTCAAAAACTCTCGCCTTTGAAAACTTAGAACTCTTTCACTGGCCCAGCCCATTGTGTGGCGAGCAAGACAATAAAAACTCCGACTCTTCTGAAGACTCAAACAATTAGACATAAGTTAGTTATACAGCTGTGGTAAAAGCAATGCCTTGTTTCAACCTGGTAGATAATCAAATTTCTTTCTTTGGGTCATGTTTTCCTAGAAACCTAAAAGAAATCAGAGAACCCTTGTATGCGGCATAATGGTGCCATTTCCTTCTTAAATAAAAAGGCAACTGCATATGAAGGTAGGAAAGCTTTTGGCTTCCAAGTCAGAAAGAATGAAAAAAGACAGCATTTATTCAGGACTTTCTTGCATAGTTTCAGATGTGTTCCTTTTACCTGCTGTCATCTCTTAAGAGAGAAACTTCTTAATGGTTTACATTTAAATATACGCCATTATAAAACAATTCAGCTTCCATGCAATTTGCTTTTTTTTACTTTTTCTTTTTAAAGCAATAATTGTGGACATAGCTCTGTCCTATATGGCAACAAAACAAAAATCCTTGCAAATCACCATAAGTGATATGTTTTACACTGTTGATTTCTAGCACAGAACTAAGTTTACTAAGTAATCATATATAATGTATGATTTATTATATAATCATATAAAATGATTTAATTAAATCTTACAATTTCCAGAGTGTAATAAATTCTGACCCAATTTCCTGCCAAAGGAAAGTAAAATCTCCCTTGAGTCATGTTTAGTTCCTAATAACTCCATGGAGATGGGGTTTTTTTGGTCAAGAGGGACAAGGTATTCATAAGAAATTTGGAGAGGAACAAATGTTGCTGGAACTCAATTTGTCACATGATGATTAGGAGGCATGGATGTTAATCTACTTCTTCACCAGTAGGACAAAAGGCCAGTTGATGCAGAGATGGGGCAGTTTCTTACTCAGAGAAACAAAACATAAGACCAGCCAGGCTGCCTTTTTGAAAGCAGTAGCCATATAAAATATTAAAAGAATATGCAAAAACAAGCAGATTGTGCTCAGTTTCACATCAAAACATTTCATTGGCATCCCCAATTTTGTTCAGTTTTTAATCTGCCAGTCGGGGAAGAGCCATCCACCGCATTACTGAAAATCCAGAAGCACATAATGTTTATTACTTAAAAGCATGGTTTACATACATGTTACTATCATTGACTATAAACTGAGCTATATTACAAGCCAGGGTGAAATTACTCACTAATTGGCCTGTGAAGATCATGTTTAATGGAATGTATAAATCCAACTGCAGGCATAAAGGGCCTCATTCATTAAATGTGCACATAGGCAGCTTTTATGCTGAAACAGGGGATTTTGATATATAATTCAAGGTGAAATTATCCACCTTGAGATCTGCAAATCAAATATTTTAGCGCTCTAGCTCCTTTTACTCAATGTCAGTTTTGAAATGCTGGGTCCTTTTGTGAAATATTATTGAATGGGGGTGAGGAGGAATTGACAACTGTATTAAATATTTCTGAAACACTAAAGAATACTTTTTACTGTGCTATGAAGGAGAGGATTGTCAAGCCAAGAATCTCACAGCATTTTAAAAAACTGTACAGTACTGCTTGATTTCAGTGAAAACTTGCCGTACATGTTACAATCTTTTACAGGGACTTTAGGCCTTAAAAACAGTTAGGCCTCATCCCAATTCTTCTAGGATAATATTATAACTGAAACATCATCTTACTTGGATTGAGCAAGTACCAGTAGGGCTCTAAGCAATGGATGGATTGGATTCTTAATATGCTCATCCTCACTATACACTACCTGATGATCCAAAAATGACCCCAAAGGGGAGACTCAGATATGCAACATTTAGAGGTAGATTCACCTCAGATTGTACAGAAAGAGCAATATTATCATGGGAGTTAGTAGCATTTTGGTGATTGGGATTATAGCACATTCCTTTCATACTTTGCAATAAGTATATAGTACTACCATTGCAAATATTTGACCATTCCAAATATTCATAAACTGTGTAAACCTCATCCTAAGGTCTAATCAAATATGGTGCTGTCTTGCTATTAACAGTGGCACAAATGCATTTGCCTGGCTTTGCTTTTTAAAAGAAATGAAAATAATATGGGGACAAGAGGAGAACATTTTCCCAGCAAGCTAATGTCCCAAGAAAAAAATACCCTATGGATGAGGCTATACATCACAGGGAGAAGCAGCCCTTGTTCCTTGAGCAAATAGCATCCCCCCCCCCCTCTGGTGTGTGTGTGGTTTCATGACTTAGGTGTGATTTAAAGCAGGGACAACTTTCTGGTTCTTCCAAGGCCGGTCTTTTAACCACCCCATTAGATTAACCCCTTGAGCCGACCTCTTCCTCAACTGCTTTCCCCCCTCGATCGGTATAATAAGAACCATCTGTCAAATTAAGCCATATTCACAGTGAACTCAGAATTGGGGAGTGGGGGGTGGCATATAGGCATTTCTTTCTTTCCTTAATTGTACACAACTCATAATACCGGAGCAATAAAGCACTGACTTAACGGGTGAAATCATCCCTGAACAAAATCGTTAGAGGATTTGAAGGCTTGAAAAGTGACTTTAGAACTATCAGATAGAAACTGAAGATAGAATGGCACCTAACTAGAATAAGCTGTGTTTTATTCTGTGGGTTACTTTTATGATAAAAGCCAAAGGCCATGACCTACCACATGCAGCATTGCATCATATAATCAAATAAATGCAAGAAAATATACAATATGTAACCCTAAAATTGCTGATTGCTTTCCAAGCATAAATTAAGGTGCTGATATTAACCTTTAAAGCCCTAAACAGCAGGAGGGGCTGCCTCTCCAGTTTTAATCCAGTCCCACTGCTAACATTTGCAAGAGCTGCTCTTCTATAATGCAATAACACTCATAGGCTTCTCTGATGCACCAAAAGGGCCTTCTCCTGCATTACTCCTAAGCACTGGTGACACTCCCTGCGGAGTGTCACACTCCCTCGGGCCTCACTTGCTCAGCATTTACAAAATCTGCAAGCCTCCCTTTTACCACCTGTTCAAGAGCAAGAATTTCCACTGTTTCTTCTATTTCCTCCTCTTCCTCCTCCTCCATCCCTTCAATCAATATTGACCCCTGGTGATTGCCTGGACCACCAGCAGTTTTCTTGGCAAAATTTTTCAGAAATGGCTTGCCATTGCTTGTTTTCTAGGGCTGAGAGAGAGGTACTAGCCCTAAATTGGCTTCGTGCCTAAGGCAGGTCTAGAATTCAGTCTCCCAGTTGCTAGCTTGGTTGCCGTAAACCATTACACCAAATTGGTTCCCTTATTTTTGTCCCATGTGTATATTTATTTTCTTTCATCTACAAAGTGCTTCGAGCTGGTTTACTTCCAAGTAAAAATCCTATCAGCAAGATAAATAAAACAATAAATAGAATAAGAACTCCTGAGTTTTTATAATTAAGGAACTGGATTATGATCAGCAACTCTTGGGCTGGGAGGATTCAAGATTTTGTTAGCCTGATATAATAAGATATTTTTATTTCAAAACTTTTTTTGGAGGGTGCCCTGTTTCTCCCAATAAACTCTTTTGCACTGCAAGTTATGTTCACTGGCCATGCCAACCTTCCCCTTTTTGCTCTAACCAATGCTCCACCCAGTCGGTGAGTACCAAATGCAGGAGGTCCTTGGCAGGAGCCAAACTGATTGATTTAGGGGATTAATCGGCTCGGTTTTCCAAGACTGATGGAACTGCCAGGTGGATGTATCAGTGGCATGTTGCAGGGGGATCCAAGATTGCCAATTTGAAATAGTTTCTCATTAACATTTTAGAAGTCTGTCAGTGTCTTTTCTATCTATAATTGCTGACTGAATCAGTACTGAAATCTTTTTTTTTTAATTCAGGAATAGCAGACAGTGAAATCTTGCCTGCTAATGCATGTGAGAATACTCATCTGTATACAAGTCCAGGCATGCAGACTGGGCTCATCCAGAGAAAGCAACATTTTTCGTCAAGTGAAAGCATTCATGATGCCAATGAAGGTCACAAGGTCATTATACAATATTGAGAGTGGCCCAGATGTGTGTCTGGAACTGATCTTACATAGCCATGTGAGCTCTTGTCTGTTAGTAAGTATGTAAAGTGTCTGTAGATACACACGTACACTTAGGGATTAACTTCTATTGCAGAATTTGGTATATTTTCCTCTTTCTTCACTTGAAATATTAATATTTTTCTTGTTAATTGTTGATATCTGATTTTATTCTAGAAAATAAATACCAATCAGATTGCTATTATTTTAAATATATAACCAAACCAGTTCCCTTACAGTACAAGATTAGCCGTTCTTAAGTGTAGTAATATATTTTATCCAGTGGATGGACATTTGTGGGGGAGGGGATAATTGAATGTTGCACAATCTGAGAGGGGGGGAAAGCATGATAAGAAATAAGCAGAAATAGC